ATATTTGTATCCACATTTAAATATGTATGTATGTATATATATGTGTATGTACACACACACAAATACACACATGCACACACACAAATACACACTCACACATATATTCTCTGGTTACACGGAGAAAGGACTCAGAAGCTATAGGGTGATTTTTACTCACATTTATTATGTTCCCTAATGTGCTAAAGTTCAGAATGGATTAATTGATTAGGCATATAAAAATCATCTAAAATTAATGATAGCACTTTAGAAATTATAGAATTATTTTATCCACTGTTCAGTTTTACTGGGGAATATCAGCAGAGCAAGTGTATGAACTTATTAGGAATCATATTAAACTCTTTTTTAAAAGATTATTTTTATTTATTTATGCACACAAGAACTGGGGCAAAGGCCAGAGGTCCGGGGGTGGGTGTGGGTGAGAGGATTCATCAGAAACAGAGTGGAGATCAGAGCAGGCAGGTATATTGAAATACACTACTGAGAGGAGCAGAGGGCAAAATAGGAAAAATCTACTGTGCCATGTGGGTCACTGCCTTGGCCGGGGATCACACTTGTGCTACAGTGGCTGTGGCCAGCTTCATAGTGCTTTGACTTAACCCCTTGCGCTATCAGGGAGGCCCCATATTAAACTCTTCATTGGTTGAAGATTAGCAGGGAAGACTGGTGGTGCTGTATGTGTGTATTATGTGTGTGTGACTTTAAGCCAGCACCCTCCCAGGAGACAGTTAAAGGCAGCAGTATCTTGGATGTACACATCTCTGAACCTGCTTAGATAATGACCAGTTGTCTGAGGCATTGCAACTTAAGGATCACTGGAAAATTGTAGTAACATTAGGTAGGAAACATATAGAAGAGGATCTACTATTAGAGAACGATTATTACTTAGATACCTAGATATTGCCAAAGAAAACAAAATATAGATATACCAAAGAGCAAATAACTAAAAAATAAACAATACATTTTAAGCTTTGGATCCAATAGTTTCTATTTATACTACAGAAAGAAAAAAATACAGCAATCATGCACTTTATCAGGAAGTATAAGAAGCCTGAAATCTTTAAAATGCTTTCTAAACAAGCTTTGTGGAATAAGAAATAAGTTGGCTAAGATAAGTATTTAATATATTTATGGATGTTTTCTATTTTAAGAGTAATCCTGGGTTACCGCTGCCAGTTATAGGAGTGATTCTACCTATGGACAGATATTGTAGGGGATGATCTAAACAAATGTGAAGCAGAGGATGAATTGGCCCATTTCTTTTTTTTTCATAGAAGAACTGGGTATAGGTCAGAGGTTTGGGGAGAACATTGACCAGAGACAGGGGATCAGAAAGGAGGATCTATTGAAATACTGCTGAGGGGAACAGAGGAGAAACAGGTGATGTGTGTTGTGCCATATGGGTCAGCTCCCTGGCTAAGGATGGAACTCAGCCCATAGCACTGATAGTGATGATATGTAACCCCTAGGCTACCAGGGAGGCCCATGGACCCATTTCTTACTGTGATCTTCTCCTCCTGGGCAGTGAATGCTTCCTCAAAGTCATCATGTTTCTGGAGAAGGGCTTCCACACTGCCCAGGGAGTTTCCCAGGTCCTCGTTGTCCAGGAAGGCCTGTAGAAGACAGAATGATGTACTGCAGCAATATTTTGTTGGTTAGGTACAATCCCTTTGGAATATCTCTGAGACAAGGACTAAGAAATAAGACAAGGGAGTTGGGAAGCCAGATGGGAAGCAGCACAAAGCAGAATAGTAGATAGACTAATCTCAAACAGCAGGAGCTTCAGATTCCCTTTCTAAATCTTTGTACAACTTTACCAACATCTAGAATTCTCCCCCAATCCAGGTACTAGACTGAGTTCTCAAAGCTGCTTCAAGAGGACCACTCACCTCCAAGACATCTCTGATAAACCCCACCAGACTCACCACAATTCTTTCTTCCTGACCCCTTAGCAATTTGATATTCATTCTGCCTTATGTTGAGTGAGGGTTAATACCTCGCTACTATGGAGAGAAACATCAGGGGCCACGCAATTTTCCATGCAGCTGCCCATGAGGATATTGTAAGAACCATATATACAGAACCAGTCTGTTCTGGGTCACCCCAGAACAAGCTCTGGCTCTAGAAATGGTTGTTAGAGTGTTGACAATCATCAAGGTGGTGAGTAAGGAGGAGAAAATGGCTTCAAGACCCACGCTGGGCTCCGAGTACCTCTTGTCTGCTCATCCAGCTGTCCACTTGCTCGCTGTCACGGTAGAAGAGGTGCAAGTCCAAGCAATGCTCGTACTGACGCTGACGTTCGTCCCACAGTCCCAGCAGAGCTGCCCAGTTGTTGGCAAGTATGGCCATCTTTGGGAAGAAGTGATAACATGCCAGGAGCATGATTACGTTATGGTATCTTCTGTTTATTGAGCATGTATTAAGGGTGAGGCATTTTGAGGAATATAAAAATGAACAGAAAGTAGACTTTTCTCTTAGGGCTCCAATATCTATGTGAATAATCACGGTGTAGAAAAAAACTGGATGTCTGTCATCAAAGAGGCACACCACATTTAATATGTATAAATAAACAAGAGAGATTCATTGTGATTAGAAAAACTAGGGAATAGAAATATAAGAGATACAGCATGACATGGAGAATTTTTAAAGGCTGGGAAGGGTGGGGATCAGGATTGTAGGGTGAGCAGGTAAAGTCATTGTTAGATCGTGCAAGGTGCTCCATAGAAAAGGGCAGAGCCTACATAGGCTAGATATTTAGTGATGGTCAAGTTCATAGAGCACTCCAATGATCAGACAGAATTTTGCCTTCTGCTCTGAAGGTAAATAAGAACAGCAAGGAAAAGAAAAGAGACATATATTCTCAAACCCACAAAAGCCTTTGCTTCTTTCCAAGCATCTGTCAAAGAAAGCCCAGCTGCTAATATAGATGCTGTATTAAGTCCATAAAAAAGGCAGCACAAACTCTCAGAATCCCTGGATAAAAGCTAAGAGTCCAAGAACCTAGGGTCCTGCCGATCCCTTGGCAAAAAAATTGTTAATAGTAAAATCCACATTATATTGTTCCTATAGAGTTTTGGGGAAGTTCAAAAGGTGGTTACCTCGGCCTCATTTATCACACAGTGCTAGAGGCTGTGATTGGAAGGCAATAAGATGCAAGAAAATTGGCCAATCTCATTTTAACCATGGTCCCACCAAATTTGGTGACAGCCACTACCCCAGCATCTGCTGTGTCAGGGCTGAGGTCAGCCTTCGTGATCCAGGTTAGGATGATGCCAAACCTGGTTCTCCAGTCTGTGACTGGCGTTCTGAACATTTCAAATGTTCCTGTAATTTAATGTAAAACTGAGAAACATAGATATAGAAAATCAAATGGATTTGTGGTTGTGTAAAGGAAAGAAGGAAGGCAGACTCTAGCCAGCACCACGCCCTCTCTGGCCACCTTAGGTTACCAGTGATGAATAAGGCCAAGTCTTCGCTGATGTTATACCTAGAGATGAGCAAAGGAAAGTGATGGAACAGAACAGGTGTGACAATGTGAGACGGTAGGGAGCTATTATATCAGGAAGGAGGTCGGCTGAAGAAATGAGCTAAGGTGATGAAACAGTGGCTTGGTGGTGAGGGGGCATCTGGTCCTGAGAATTTCAACTTCATCTCGCTAAAGCAGCTTGTAATGGTAGAGATGTGAGCGGTAGGTTCCATTGTTGACTTGTCTGTTTGAGTTCCCCTTCGTTCCCCGCAGAGGGCCTCATATTATTATGAGATTATTAAGTGAGGGCTAGAGATGTTTCAAAATTTCACAGTACCTTTTCCCGGACTTCCTCAGAGGCCTCGTGATTGGCGTCCAGCAGGGCTTGTCCAGTCTCGTCCGCAGATTGGAAACGGTCATCGTAAGAGTCAATCTCATGCTGTGGTCACAGGACAAAATGTCTTAGGACGCAGCCAGAACTATCTGCATCTTTGCCATGAGCAGGCCACCTTCCTCACCCTGCTGCTGGGCCCCCACCTTGTGCTGCTGATGTCTGTCCAGCAGGGCTTCCCCTCCGGCCACGTCTGTGGGTAGCTCATCGGCATTGATCAGTGCAGTCTTCTCTTTCATCCAGCCTGAGAGCTCCTCATAGTCAGATAAGAACCGCTGGTACCTGTGGGGAAAGGAAGGGCAGGGAGGAGAAGCACCCAAGTGGACTGGAGGAAGAGTTAAGCTGGGCTGAGTTAAGATGTGAGGACACTTGTGGCCCTGAAGGCCCCCTGGGCTCCTTGGTGCACTGTCTGTTCTCCTGGGGCATGGGCAGGTACTTGCTCCAGGTGTATATTTCTAGGTATCTGGGCCCTTGTGTGAGAGGTACACCTGTGTATTATACTGCGTGGTCACTAGGTCACACCCACCCAAGGACTTGAAGTGGCCAACAAAGAAGCATTAATATATAATCAACAGGAAACGCGTCTGGAAAGGAGAGTAGAGGTAGGGTTAGGAGACCCCACTAACCTCCCTCCTGTCTCTCAGCTCAGTGTAACCCTATTAAGAAAAAGACCAGAAACTACAAAAAGTTACCCATTAAAAAAAATTAGAGTTCATCGTTTAGTTTGAAATCATAACAAGATAAATGCTCTCTTTTCATGATTTAGGGACTAATCATAAAAATTAACTGCTGAAAATAATGCCCAGTATTTTGTAATACATGTGTAGGAGATATATCTAGATTTATTTTTATTCTCTTTAGCTTGGAAATTCAGCGACTTTGTCAGGGTCAGTTTTGATGTTTCTTCAACTGCTTTCCAGCTCCTGGGTGAAGTCATAGCACCCTACTACTATTCTGAGGAAACAGAAGTGTGCCGTGACACCTGCAGTATGCAGAGAGAGAAAAGGGGTACAGGTGGGGGGCCATGCTGAGTATTATACTGTGCAAGGCACTTTGATTAGAAAAGAAAAGCTACTTTTACCTCCAGGGAGGTCTGAATTCCCTGTTACTTTATCACATTTACTCTTTTATCTCTGCTTTTGATAGGCCTCTGATCCAGTAGAGCTAGCTCAAGCTACAGACAGGAGGAGTTCCCCACCAGTAAGAGGCCTGCAGCTTTGCATATCTGCTGGTGGCCAACGCGCGCACGTGGTCCCAGTTGGAGGTGAGGTCCTCTTTCATCTGCTGGATCTGAGGTGCGTCTGAAGGATGGGACAGCTTCAGCTTATCTGCTTTGGCACATAACTCTTTCACCTTTGGGATGAAAAAGAAACCCCGTGGGAAATACCAGCATCCTGACTCTTCCCAGCGAAGATTTATGGAAAGTATTCATGAAACCCATCATATAAATCACAATTGAGCAATACTTCTATCTAGAATTATTATTAACATCTGAAATACTGTATTAATAATAATTATTTACTGAGTACTCTGTCATCGTGCTGAGCACTTCACATGCACTTTCTCATGTTATAGTCTCCATTTACTAATACTGAGGCAAAGCTATTGCTGTTCTTCCTCTACGTGAAAACTGAGATGTAAAATATTTTATTTGTTCAAGATCTTTCTGTTAGTAAGAGTCAGAAGGAAGACTGGGACCCAAGCCCATTCCTCATTACCTTCTATATTGTTTCCACAGTTATGACTGTGGGGATCAGAAAGACGGTGCCACTTAGTCCTGGCAAGGCATTTACAGCCCAATTCCTAAGGAGCACAGACTCAGGTGACACCCCAGGTGTACTTTCCTCTGCAGTCGAAATCTTATCAGGTGTTGCCTTGGACTTTGATTTATTGTTATCCATCAGATCGTAGTATATTCTTATTCACTTTTAGGAAAAAAGGCCAAAGGCTCAAGAAAAATGAAAGAAGTGGATAGTGGGGCCCTAAGAGACTGGACAGGGGTTGGAGCTGCCCACCCAAGCACAGCAGGGGTGTCTTCCCCTGGCGGACTCAGCTGGAGGTGTGAGGGGTCCCTGGTGCAGGCCTCGTGAGAGCTGGAGGGGTAAGAAGAGCAGATGGAAGCATTAAGGACATGGGGTAGCTCTGAGCTCTAGTGTCTGATCTGCCCCCTAGGGAAAGAGCAGGTTTCCCAGCTGTGGAAAAAGAATCCACACGTAGATTCAGTAAGGTGCTGTGGGTGTCTCAAGTTTATTTTAAAAGGGGAAGAGAAAACACTTCCCTGGTCTACTGAGTGAAGGACAAAAGAGCAACAGCAACAGTAACAGCAGAAGAGCCACAGTTCCCAGGTGCAGAAGAGGTTGATGTGTCTAGGCGGAAGCCTGGCACTGAGTACCGAGACGAGTGGCCCATTCTTGTGGTTGCTTTTATTGGGGGGGGAGAAGGCTTGGTTTTTAATCACAAAATATGTTACAAAAACCTACAAAAGTATACAGAACATTGATGTGAATTTAAATAAAAATAAATGTAAATTAAGGACGTCCAGTATTCCTGGACAAGCCGTCTCTAGCGTCAGGAGCTCTCGCTGGGGAGCATCAACTTGTTCCTGCACTGAAATCATGAACTGGCTCTGGTGGCAGGACAGCACTGATGCCTCTATCAGCTCAAAAGCCAGATTCTGCCAGCTGGCTTACCTTGTCATTCATGACGGCAAGGTTCCTCTCGAGTCCCTTGTGACTGTGGAACAGAGCCTCGGAGCTCACCAGGTCCTTGCCATAGTCTTCAGACATGAGCAGAGGCTCCTTCTCCTTGATCCACTGGATGGCTTCAGTCACATCCCTGCCAGACAGCCACGTGAGTGCCAATCAGAGAGCGGCAGACATTCTGGGACAAAGGGAGCACACCACGAAGCCTAGCCTATCACTGCCCACCCCCGTCTTCCCAGCACTCTGCCAACAGCCACCTGAAGAGTTCTGGCTTTTAGTGGTTTCCATTTGGACACTAGGGACCTGGGCATCCTGCTGAGCCTCCAGAGACCTTCCCCTGTGGGTTACTTCCTCAGGGATGTCATCTTACTTCTCACCTCCACCCTCACGGAAACCTCAATCTGATTTCCTGGCCCTCTGCAGTGCTCTGTCACTAATTCACCTGAGCTAATCTTACTGCTTTGGGATTCAGTTTCCACAAACTTAGCTGTGGTGTGGGTCACAACCACGTACCTTCTCCTTTGCTGTCTTCAAGACAGGTACATGATTTTGTCTGGTTTGAAGGATTGGTTGCTAATTGCTAACAGAAGACAGAGACAGACACAAACCAAAACTTGGGGCAGTGGTGGGACTCCCCATAATATGGAGCCCAGGTCCATGCCTTTTGAATCTTTGGAGGTCTGCAGCATTGGACAGGGTTTTCCTTCTCTGGAGGGCTAGGCCATGGAGACGCTCCCAGGCGGCGTTCACCTCATCCTGCTTTGACTTGATCAGGGGCAGCTCAGGGTGGTTCTCCTATGGGAGAAAAACCAAAGCTGGAGTCAGTAGAGTCAGGTTATTCCAAAATCCATGTAAACACTCCTCATTATGTGCTGGTTCATACCTTGCAGACCTGATCCATATCACCAAAATCTACAAAACCAACTTATCAGATCATCAGCCCAGTTCATTCAGCAGTGGGCTGAACTACTACAGAGGGTGTTAATTATATGCTAAAATTTTTAAACCCCACTGTGTTGCTGTCTTGCCAAATCTCTGAAAATCCTGGACATCACAGGAAAACAAACAAACAAGCAAACAAAAACCCAGAAAATTTCCTTTGTATAATATGATTTTGTTTTCTAAAGCTCCAATGAAGTGGCTCTTTACTCCTTGGGGTTCCTAGCAACTTTGAGAATCCAGAAAAAAAATTATTCCAGTTCCCAAAATTGCATGTATACATTGCCAACTTTGCAGAAAAATTTTGAAAATGACATCTGGAGCGTGAGATTTACAATTACCAAATTAAATGAGTGGCTTCAGCCTGTTTTGATGCTCGGCAATTTTGAGTAGTTCCCACATGCCCCAGTCTCATTGCTCCATCTGTCCCCGTGCCTTTCCATTTCTATTCCAATTCTGAAATCTTTCCTGACAGAATTTTTCCATCCTCCTTCCTGCAGCTGCATGGATCCTTCCAAAACAGCAAAGGACACACTGTGTCGGGTTGAATGAACCTGCCCATGGTAGACCAGAGGACTGACTGCATGATGGCCCACAAGGCCTTCATCGTAAGAGGTAGACTCTGTTTCCTCCTTTGGATCTGGGTTGGCTTTTTACCTGCTTACCAACAGGCCAGGAATGACATTCTGAGCTCCAGCACCGAGCTCAGAGACCCTCCAGTCTGTCTGGAAAGCTGACAAATGAAAGAAGCATGAAAGACAGGAGAGCATGTGGAGAAGAACTACATTGTCCTCACCAAGACCCTGACATAAGAGCAAGGTTATTCTGGTTCTTTTTTTTTTTTTTTT